TTGCCAATTTTTTGACAAATACAGAGTTCAAGTTTTAGAAGCAACAATGAATTCGAATTTAATTTCTAAAGATGCGTTTTCTGAGAATTCGTCGTATGAAAAATTTAGAACTTGTGTAATCATGCATAACGAAGTTATAGAGTGCGTATTTATTAATTAATATCAATAATATGATATACTAGCAAATAATTATTGCATTAAATTGCTTTTTTTTATTGCACTTCGAGGTTTTATAATATTTTGAATGAAAACTGTCAGTATAGTTACTTAATTCAGGTTGGATTAAATATGCTGGGCATGAGTACGACAGCTGTTCAAGTAAATATAATTATCCGAATAATGACACATACAAACTGTTGAAAATTTTATTTAATTAATTATTTTATTTTTCAGACAGTTATAAATTTAAATAGACCGGATGTAGCAATTAGAAGTGCTGTATTTTTTGGAGCTAATCAATTTCATTTGTTTTTGCTCAGTCTACCTGGACAAGTACTTTTGGATCATTGTGCTAATTTTGCAAATGCTATGTATGTATTTAGTATAAATAATTATAATAATTGGTAACTCGAATTTAATATTTGATTAATATTAAAACAGATATGGTTCTATGTGGTATGGAACATCATTGGAAATTCAGAAAATGTTTTATATGATGCAAATAAGAAGTAAAAAATTATGTGCATTAACTGCAGGTGGATTGTATGATATGAATATCGAAAACTTCGGAATAGTATGTAGTATATGATAAAAATATTACAAAGATAATAATACATATTTTGTTAATTATTATTTAATTCTATTTCAAGACTTTTAAAACGTGTATGTCATATTTCACGATGATAATGTCGTTGAAATAATAATTCTACGACGTTTATAGAAAATATACAACTGAATCTATTATATTCTCTGTCCAAATTAACTGAGGATACGAATAGTAGTAGAAATAATTAATATGTACATTATTAATATTACATAGTATAAAAAAGCTTTATCAAAAAGACAAATGAACAAAATGTTATAATATTGTAATGTATAAAAGATATAGATATATTACAGATCTTATTAAAATAATTGACTAATATTTCATAGCATTATTCCACCTTCAGTGAATTACAAAAAGAATTTTTTTATTTTAACGAATCAAAATGATATAATATATAGTAAATGTTGATCCATAAAGTTTTATAAAATTATATTTAGTATCCACATATTGCAATTTTAAATACTATAACCAATATTTTTCTTTGGATATTTTGCATTTTATTAAATGTATATTTTGAATATATTTTTACAATAAAATTTTGCGTTGCTCTTAATTTTTTAAATTATTGTAATTAAATATAAATATCAAATCAAGAAAACTTCATTAAAATCAAATTTATCGATTGACAAAGTTATTTCGACAAGTTATACTAGCTATAAAAAATCCAAGAATTGCGTGATCACGCATAACGAAGCCATATGGTTCGTATGCAAAAATAATAAAATACATTATCATTTAGTTATTAATGACTAACATTATTTCGTTCCATTTTGAAGTTCTGCAATATTATAAATGACAGAAGTAGTTACCTGATTGAGGATTAACTATGTTCGACAGCTGTTCAAGTAAAGACAATTTTGTTAATGATAACTTGGATAGAACTTGAAAAAAAAAATTTCCATAATCAATTTCTTGATTTTTCAGCTATCGGTTTATTATTATATTAAAATTTAAATAGACCTGGAACAGCAATACAGAATTTTTTATTTTGTTTAACTAATCAATTCTATTTATTTCTATTTAGCTTACCTGAATAGATACTTTTGGATCATTCTACTGAATTTGCAAATAATATGTATGTATTTAATATATTTCAAAAACTTTATCACATACATATATTATAAAACAATATTTTTCATTTAATTATTATGTATTAATTTTAAATTTATGTAAACTTTATCAGAATTATGATTGAATTTTTATGAGATTGAATATTATCCTAAAAATATATTATAATTAGTAATTTTAATCTGAAAGAATAAAGTTTATATACATTTTTTTCGAAATGAAATGAGAATCATCGGCAATAGGTATTGTTATTGAAAACACCGAGAACGAATACATATTGCGAATAAATTTACTTTTTAAGAATTCGTTCGACAAATTTAAGTGGAAAATTATTGGAAAATCTTTTGTTATTGTACGCTTAGTAAACTCCATACTGCAGCAAGCGTAATCAATATTTTAGTATAATCATAGATCTTCTTTCTCCAAAGTTAACTGCCGGACATCAATTATCAAGCTATTTTCTTGTCTCTACAATACAAAGCCTGTAGACAATATCATAGTTTAAAAATTATTCTATAACATGAATTGATAACTGACTGATTTGCAGTCATATGTTATTTCTGCAATTTTACATAGTTATATGTTATTATCGATATTGCTATTCTGCAATTATACGTGATACAATACTATCGAAACATAATTTTAGATTTATATTCAGTCTTAAGTCAGATTGACTTAAGAAAAAATAACATTCAATCTTTTAGATTAGTTTCAAGTTATGAACTTAGAAATATGAATAGTAAGAAAAAGAAAAACAAGAGCAGAATGTAACAAAATAATTTTTTGTTTTTTTTTTTAATTTCATAATTATTGTTTTAAATAACATTATTAATTTCATATTAATTATATTTTTGATATTTAAAGTAACTCAATTACGAATTATAGTGAAATTAATTTAAATTTAAGACATTTAGTATTTCAGAAAACCGGAAGACAGTGTCCCGATATATTTGACATTCCTTACTATAAAATGGTCGAGAAATATTTTCAACTTTTGGGACAAGATCCGCGTTTAAAGAATGAGTTCAGAAATTTTATAGTAACAGTGGTGGTGATTAGTATTTCAGGCAATATTGTTCCAACGGTAAGGAAATCACGTTGAACATTTTATAGAAATGAGGAAAGTGAATCGAGTGAATTCTACATAATAAAATAAAGGTAATGTTAAACAATTGAAATTTGTAATCATTAGTCAATAGAGTTATATACGTCGTTATGTGACAAGAATATGGATGCAGTGATCGAGGGTCTACCACATTTTATCGCAGCTACCATTAGTGCTGTTAAAATATTAAATATATATTTCTATAGAGAAAACGTAAGTAATTTTTTAATTATACAAAAGAATTTTTTTAGAATAATATATTTTTTCAAAAAAATATATTATTTTCTAGTTTGATAAATTATTTCAATTCGTAACAAATGAGTGGAATAAGCTGAAATTAAATAATGAATTGCATATTCTCGATAAAACTATTATACGAGGAAACAAAACAGCACACTTATATCGCAGTATATTATAATTTTTTAGATTTCTTTGTCAATTGTGTCAGAAGCAAAATTGATCGTAAATTTTGTCAAGTTTAATTATTTAATTTTTGATAAGTTGTTTTGAAAAAAGTAGGTATATGTTTGACATTGAATTAATTAATGAATTAATTAATGATTATAAATTTAGAGTTTTGATCAATTTTGCTTTTAACTAGCATAATTATTAAATAACATTATTTTTATTAATATTTTTCAAATTTTGTAAATTATTAAGTACATACTTTTTAGGTGCATTGTTGATAGCTTTGGTATTGTTCTTATTGATTCCATTAATTTCTCCTATATTAGACGTATTTCTTCCGCTAAATGAAACTCGACCACGACAACAACTTCTCAAAGTTAATTATTTGATTTTTAACGATCACGATTACTTTTTCTATGTATATTTGCAACTTGCTTGGGGATCAATTATAGTTGTGGTGACCTCAGTTGCCGTAGATTCATTATTGATTCTCATAATTCATCACTGCAGCGGATTATTTACAGTTTGTGGGTAAATATGATCATGCTACAAAAAACATATATAAGTATATAATGTTATATTTCTCCTTATAATTATTTCTTTTTTTATAAACATTTTTCATCATAAATATATAGGTACCAAGTGCAAAAAGTAATAAGGAATGCAAAATCGTTTAATGGAACTATTTTAAATAATTATACGTACGAGCAAATTAAGAATTGCGTAATCATGCACGATGAAGCCATCCAGTTTGTATTTATCAAATAACAATAAAATACATATTTCAAATAATTATAATAACTAATT